GTGTTCCCAAAAAGTACTTTAAAGTGTATAAATAAGTTACCCGGGCAATTGATTTACATCAGCCAATCAGACGAATGCCCTCCTATGAAACTGGCACCCCCATATTTCCGATCCGAAACTACCCGCTGACCATGCTCGTATTTTATGTTTAATACTGTAATATGTTTAATTACTGTCTAACATCCGAAAACTTACGACTGTTTTATATTAAATATTTTATAGTCAACTAAGCCGACTTTTTAAAAAATCGACTAAATTAGTTGACTAAGTCGGCTAAGTCGACTAATGCCATATCGACTTGAAACACTAGCTATGTGCATGTTCACTGTCGAGTATTTAATACTTTTTTTTATTTATTTTTTTTTTAATTTCATTTTTTTTTAACAAGTAAAATATCGATTCTACTACATTGCTATAAATATATGTATGATTCTACTACATTGCTATAAATATATGTATATATGTATTTTAAACTTATAAATAAAAATATTTACAAGTCGATAACGGATTATATATCCAATAAAAATGTTGTTTTAAACTTTTGACCGGTAGATTTATTTTCAGCGGTGGCTAAAATTTCGATCTTGCCAAATTCCAAAGTAAACAGAAAAGTTTTATCATCAAAATCACCATTTTTTGGTAAATCGATTAAGAAATTTCCTAATAATTCAACATCATCTTCATTGCAATATTTAACATTGTCCTTTGATGTCACGTAAATATCAAATTTCATTTGCTTTTGGTTTAACGATGCAGGTGTAAAATTTCTTACAACCTTTTCATTCATAGAAATATGAGAACCTTTGGTAGCTAAAGCTTGAAAAGTCTGTATTAATCCTCCTGAAAGTATGTGGTCTTCTGGATCCGTAGATTCCCATTGGCGAACAACGGAAGTTCCTTTAGACGAAATCATGAGAAATCACATCTCTTAAAAAAACACACATAAGCAAACATTTACATATTTAATTACCGTAAGTCCATTTCAATACTCTCTCAGAAATTATGTCTTCTCTAAGTCCATATTTAACAGCACCCTTTAGAATTGCTGTTATTGGCTGAGTTGGAACAGAAATAATTTTTACTTTTTGTTTGAATTCTTCCTTAATTCTCATCTGCAGATATTCAGATTCACTAAAACCACCAACTAAAAACATAGCAGAACAATCTCTACAAGCATTTAATTGATCATAGATTAAAAGAATTATTTTAGCTATGACAGGATCAAACATTTCTTTTACTTCTTCAAACTTTGGTTCAATTAACCATCTTTCTTTTTCCATGTATTCCTTTTCTCTGCCAGTTACGATCGTTTTTATGTTCGGAAAGAATTTTTCTAAGTCCAATTCAACAGATTCAAATGTGCTAGGGTCGCCAGTGAAAGGTAATTTAATCTGATGACAAAATTCTTATAATAAAAATATCATCAAAATAAAATTCGAAATTAGAGAATCTACAAACCATATTCACACAAGGTAGAGAAAACATATCATAATTTGTAATACCTTGGATCAAATTTTGAAGATAACTATAATTATTTTCGGTTAAATATTTTAAAGCGGATTTACCAATCCTCTGACTTAGAAATTCAAGAAATTCGCGATCGACGAAAGTACTACCGCAGAAATCACCGGAACGTTCAGTTGATTCGCTCAAATTTTTACTTGTTAAAAACTTTCTAACAGTCAAGTCGACAGTGCCACCTCCACAATCTACTATCATGTATGTGGAACCAACGCCTAATTCTTGCTCCTTTAATGTTTCAATACATTGTATTGCTGCGGCTTCGGCTGAAAGAAATTAAAATGTATGTATTATCATTACTATAAAATTCGTATAAACGTTGAAAGACAGAATAACCTACGTTCTGTCGTAAATATTAAATTACGACTGTTTAATTCATCTATCAAGTTTGCATTAATTGCACATTCTCGCATCACGGCGATATCTCGAGCATCGAATTCCGCAGGGATCTAATATATACGTACGTATGAATGTATATATTATTATACTGTATACTATCAACCTAAAATACAATAAATATATGCATATAAATAATACATACAGTGAGGACGAACAAAACTTGATTAAAAATATCCAAATATAGCCAATCTACTTTTAAAATTTCGTGAATCTTTTCGCCCAACTTGCATAAATAATCAGTTATAACTTTCTTATAATCCAGCCCTTCGGGTAGTGGAGGTCTCTTTGCTAATTTTCCTAAATGTAGTTTAAATAACTCAGCAGGTTTACTCTTGACCGCTTCAACCTTATTATTTGGCCTTTGAGCTAGTGCAATGTATCCCCATGATTGTACATTCAAGTTTTCATCATATTTAAGGACAGTTGGTATTTTAAATTTTCCATTATAGCCTTCCCAGCCTACGTTGGTGATGATTTTTTTAGGGCTTGAAATATGGGCATAAGAAAATCCCTATAACATATGGAAGGTTAAGATATAGTAGAATAAAGGTAATCTAGTCTTGAAACATCAATTCACCGAATAAGTTGTGCCAAAATCTGCCATAAAAACATAAAACGAATGAGAAATTATATACAATTGACATAAAATCGCAGCAGCTATCTAAAAATGTATTCAAATAACGTACCGATTGCTACGACGACACGAATATCTCGATCTTCAAACATAGATTTCTAAAAAAAAAAATTTAAATATTAAATTATTGCGGATTTTTATTCTAAATTATTAATCTGTACATGAACGTATAAAAATACATGGGTTTCTTTTTATATGGAGCCCTCGTGATAAATGATACAAAATGTGATTATTAATGCAAATATCACGTCATCATTTAATCACATTATCTTATCACAAGTCACAAAATTTTTCATACGTAAATAATTAATTTGTATCAAATAGAATATATTATATGCGTATTTAAATAATATAAAATGGCGTATTTATGTATTTGGATTAAAATTATTCTTTTATTTGAAAAACAAAGGACGCAAATAAATTTTTATCGGAAAAACTACACAATAATAGTTTTTTTTTTTTTATTTAAAAAAGACGCATCTTTTTTTTATTTTATTTATTTTAAAGCGATTAAAATATTTATTAATAAAAAACTGAATCAAAGTTTGAAACCTTAGAAATGGGAGATAATGCGGTAGATGGTGAAGCAGAATTAATTCAATTACGTAAAGATTATGGAGAATTAAGGGAAAAGAATAGAAAGTTGAAAGCCGAGGCCGAGAAATACCAAGTCATAGTAGGTAATGCGACTAGTTATAGATTCGCTGACGATGATCAAAATAATCCTGTTCATTTCAACGACGACATTAAAAACTTGAATGGAAGAATCTCTAAATTCATTACTAATTTGAAAAATAACGTCGAAATACATTCGAATAAGATTTCAGAGCTCTTACGGGATTATAAGTGTAATAAGGAAACCATAAAAGATATGCAGCTCGTAAAGGATGTATTAAGACGTTTAGTAATTGAAACTGTTATTAATGAATTCGACAAATTTTGTAAATCAGAAAACTCTTGCCTTGAAACCGAAATAATGAATGACTTAAAGCTATTAGACAAATTAAATACATTAACTAGTTCAAGATCCGGTAACGACATTATGAAGTCAACTTTAATAAAAATACGCCAACAAATTTATGCTATTCTCGGGAGCTTAGCATTTGCAAATACGGCTGACGAAAAAGAACACGACCATCCGTTTATAAATAATTGCAAGACGCAACTTATTAACAAAATAAATCAATATCGCACTATTACTGATGAATCTAAGAGAAAGGAAACTGAAAGACAGGTTTCAGCAATTGTCCGTGACGTTATTAGTATATTTTATTTTCGAAGGTATGCGCAGGAACCAATAGTAAGTTATGTGTGGGTCAAAAATGACGAGCCTATAGATTCATTAACTATGACAGGCACTTGGAATAAAGATGATGAAATTGATAATTTGGTAGTACAATTTTGCTCATTTCCACTTTTTGGAGTAGAATTAGAGGATCAGGATAAAAGACAAATATATACTCCGGCATGTGTTATCGCAAAAGAGGATACTCCAGAAACAATAAGGCAACGCGCACGTGAATGTATGTCGGTAGGCAACTATGAAAACTCTCTTACTAATTTAAATAAATTATTAAATATTAATCCAAATGATATTCTTGCGTTAAGACAACGCGGAGAGACTTATTATAGGATGAATAGGTATATTGAATCACTTGAAGACTTAAACAAAGTAATAAGAAAATATCCAAATGACGCATATGCATTGTACATTCGCGGAGCAACTTTTCACATGATGAAACATTATACTGATGCGCTAAACGATTTGAAAATACCAATATCCATTCAACCAAATGCGCCTGTACTAAGTCAACGAGGTGAAACTCACCGTGAGTTGAAAATGTATGATGAATCATGTGCAGACTTTACAAAATCATTAGAAATTGATCCAAATAATGCACTCGCATTGAGAGAACGTGGTGAGGTTTATTATCGGAACGAGCAATACGATAAAGCTTTCACAGAGTTAAATAAATCATTAGAAATTGAACCAGATAATGCATTTGCATTGTCTTACCGTGGAGAAATTTATCGCCTGAAGAGACAATATGATGAAGCGCTTTTAGATTTAAATAATTCATTAAAAATCCAGCCTAACAATATAAGATCATTGACTAATCGCGGGATCATTTATCAGGTGAAGCACAGATATGATGATGCGATATTGGATTTGAATAAAGCTTTAGAAATTTTTTTTCTTGCCGAATTTTGCTTCGAGTAATGTTTCCACCATTGGCATACGGGTGGAGCCACCCACCAAAATTATTTGGTCGATAGTCAAACTTCGGCCTAATTTCTTTTCAGCCACTTGAATGCAAATATAATATGTCGGCGTGGGATGTTTTATTGCGATATAAACAGATATGATGATGCAATTTTAGATTTTACTCGTTCGATAAGGTTAGACGAAAATAACGAAAATAATGCATATGCATATAGACAACGCGGAAAAACTTATAAAATAATGATGAAGTATAATGAAGCACTTTCAGATTTAGATCAATCATTAGAAATTCATCCCAACATACGTTGTGTGAACACGGAGAAGTTTGTCTAATGATGGGCCAAAAAAAAGAAGCAATGACTTATTTCAAAAAATCATTAGGTATCGATCCAAAAAATGTAGGGGCATTGCTTAACCGTGGAAATATATATCGGATTAATGGAAAATATAAAAAAGCACTTGAAGTTTAAATGAATCGTTAAATATAAATCCAGATTGTATATATTCATTAGTAATTCGAGGAGAAATTTATAAAAAAATGTATAAATCAGAAGAAACCAAAAGCGATCTAGATAAAGCAATGAACCTTTGTCCAAGTTACGATTTCCACCGTGTAAAACTGAAAAGAATATATAAATTGGAAATGTAAAAAACATCCTAGTTTTTCATAAATTAGAGAATTATTTAGTTTTCTTGTAAAATGGATTTTATAAAATTTCCTGACATTAGATCTTCATGCATGTAATTCTTTATTTTAGGTAGCAACTTCAGATAGGTGGCTAATTTACGACATAATCATGTGATTAGTTTTATTAATATGATTGATTTTATAAATAAATATTGTTCTTTATTTAAAAATTTAGCAACAAAATTGTCACGGCAGATCCTCGATTTTGATTGGCTAACAGCCGAAGATCTTCAAAATTTTGGCCCGCATTACATTGTTTACTAATTTCCGGCCGGAATTAACTTTTTGATTTTTTCATTTCCAAAAATAGAAATTCTCAAAAAATAAGCCCGCATTATGGTAAAATTGGACCAAGAACAATTTTCACTTAATGGGTGGCTGAGCATAGCGGGCCTTAAATTTGATTGGATGATCAACCAAAATGTTACACAATATGAAAGACATATTAACGTTAGTGATTTACAGCTATTTTCATTATTCCTGGGACACCTATAAAAAAACTTGCCGAAAAATTTTTCGGCCGGTAATTTTTTTGGCATAATAAAAATTGATATAATACTGTAATATATACGTAATTTAAAATCAGGTGGCTAATATAAATATAAAATTACGCACATCTCTTGTTGAATTCAAAAAAATATGGTATTTTCAAACCACATTCGCTGGCAAATTATTGAAAAAAATTTAGAAGGCCTATCAACTCGAAAAA